GTGTGCAGCATACGAATTTCCTCTCGGCCCGTTGCATCTTTTCTGTGAAGTCTTTCATTATGGCCTGAGCCAGAGGAAGCTCATAGTCGAGGAGTATAGTTTAATGCTGACCATGTACCCATTCTTCGTCACCCTCTCATGTTTCACTTGAATATATATCATTTCTTTGTAACGACTTTCGTTCTCAGGAAGAACAATAGGGGAGTCTACCAGCGCACGTTCTCTCGAGTCTCAACACAATATGTTCTGAGCTATCTGACAATGCACTCTGTTCACGATTAGACGGCGCTGCGTAGGCCGCCATGAAACTATGTAGTGTGATTGGATCGGACAACATGATTGGGACGTCTTTTATATGGCCCCTGTTGGCAGACCACAACAGATTTCTAACCGTGTCAGTGTTCGCCTGTTTTAGACACGTTTGGTAACAAGACCCAAACCTTCTAAACAGGCACCAAACATATCCACGACTGCATACATAATAAACCTCGGTGACACTTTGCCATTTATACTCGGTTTCCGAACAACTGGAAAAATGCCTGGACAGTTTGTGTGCCGAAGCGAGAGCGGCCTTCTCTTGATTTTTGCTCTACGCCTGATCGTCTTTCGTATGCATCTCCTGAGCAAGATTTCATTGAGATTATATTTTTGCGCGTTTTCTTCAGGAGGAGATATAGGAATCCTTGAGATATCCTAAATCTCCATCGTCAGAAAAGAAATATCCTCGAATACGGTCTAGACGGCTGGCTTGTTCATTGTCGCATCCTTGTCATCTGCATATTTTTCACTCGCGTTGCTGTTCTCTTTATCGCTCATCGTGGCAAACGGCGCACCAAGATATACCCTTACGTCCGCTCCGAGGATGCCGTTTGAAAGCTGGTGGGTCAAATCCGTCTAGCCCGTATCAGCATTGACGACCTAGAAGTAACCAAATAAGTAGTATAAGTTGTATACCACTTTGATTCTGTTGTTAGGCCAAAGACTGAATAAACCTCTACTTTTCCACACCAACATCACCCCATTTATGGCATATTTAATTAAACGCGCTGCCCTTATTACTATTACAGACCCTATTGTCGTGCAACAACTGGGCACGCAATATTATCAACATATAAATATATTATAATAGATACCTTGTTTATTAACAATCCGATTTAAGTGACTCATGTTAGCATGTTGCGCGCCGTTTTTGCATTGAGCGTCCTGTCCTTCTTGTGCACCATCCTGTTTACTTGTATAAAAACTAATGACAACAACAATTAACTTGGAAACAATTACACCGAGACACCTTTTATACAAACAACCCACGACAAAAAAAATGAGCAAGTAGAGTTTGGTATGTATTTTTTATTAAGTGTTGTTGTTCGAGGCTGTGGACTATATTACTTGTTGCATGTCTTGCACATGACTGCGGAACCGGCCAACTCACCCCTGGTAACCGACTTACCCTCAATCCATCGACAGCCGTCTGGCGTATGAAGCTTTGCTTTAGGAGCCCGGCAATCTAGAACCCCATCTGAGTTGGTGTAGCTTCAAAGGGTGGCGGCAATTCGGCATCCTTGGGCTCCTCCTTTATGGTAGCGAGAGGGGACTTGGGTGCGCTCTTGGTACACGTCTTACACCAACCCGTTGTGTTGGTAATGTTGACATTGAATACACTCTTGCCCTCAATCCATCGACAGCTGTCTAGCTTATGAACCTTTGCTCTAGGAGCCCCGGCAATCTGGAACCCCATTTCAGTTGGTGTAGCTACAGAGAGTGGTGGCAATTCGGCATCCTTGGGCTCCTCCTTTATGGTAGCGAGTGGGGACTTGGGTGCGCTCTTGATACACGTCTTACACCAAATAGTCGTGCTGGTAATGTCGACATTGGATACAGTATTGCCCTTGATACATCGGCAATCCCGAGACATGTGGACCTTGGCTCCACGGCCACCATCAAACTGGAACCCGGGTCGGGTAAGCAGAGTCTCCTTGTTAGGGGTCACAGTAGCAGAAGCTGCGCGCGGTGCCGAAACGGCCCGGAACTGATTAAGCACCTGGTCTGGGTTATCCTGGAACTCGTAGAAAATGTCAGAGCCAGAGTCCTCCAACTTGTTGATTTCAAGAGTCATATCCCCGACTGAGGTTGCACGTGTGGACTTGACTCCGCCGCAGTGCTTGACTGGTCCAAAAAGACCAACCTTACCGTGCCCGCTATAAATATCGGAACCCTTCTGTACGGAGCCCAGGTATCCGCCGGGGCCACACGGTCGTCGGCATACGCGGCCAATCCAGCACCCTTGTGTCATTGTTGCCCGGTGCACATACACGGTACGTAGTAGCACTCCAGGACCTTGTTGTAGGTCGCAATCTCGTTAGGACCAGCATTCTCAACAGTGCAGATGGAGTCAAAGTGGTACAAAAACATGAATCTAGTCATTATTCCATATCTCTTGGAAATGGAACACGATTGACCGTTGTACACAAACACGTCGGCAACATACATGTCGCTAATCAGCGTGTGGTTCAAGCAGAACGGGTAGTTTGAGTTGGACTTGGGTACCGAGACAAACATGGCTACAAATACTGGGGTGGCTATACTGTTCCTACTGTTGGGCTTGTGGTGTAATGATTTGGGTTGGGATTGATCCACTGCGTTATATACCCAAAATGCGGTATCCCAAACCCACAATGGGCTACGGAACGCGCCTGTTTGGTAGTCTACTGTACATCCGTCCGCCCTAAATTGGGGTTGTTTGTGGGGAAGGGCCGATTCGGAGCTCGATCATGTTATGGGAACACAACCCTAGACCAGTGCTCGGTTTGTGAATCTACAGTACACATGTTCCCACGCACCCCTACCACCACACGCATGCTGGGCCCAAATACACCCACACTATTGCTGCTAACCGTACTTTGTATGGGGGTGCTACATTTGCCACGTGGCACATTTGCCACATTCTCAAACCTCGGATGGCATTATATATCTGTTTACATGCATGCTGCATGGGGATGTCACATTTGCCACGAGGCAAAGGTGACACGTTGTAAATTATACATACATTTACCAAATTTTATTGCTATTAAAGGGATGGTTGAACTTGCCCAATATGTCAAACAGCCTCAGTGGACCCCGTACGATCCAAAACACCCAATTGTATAGTACTCTGCTTTAGGGGGTGGCACATTTACCACGTGGCAAATGTGGCACATGCAATTGCATATGGATGACCTATTATGAACCACAAGACCTACAGCTAAACCTTGGCATTGTACACCTATTGGGCAAGAGGGTCCTTAAACAGACGTCTGGGGTTCTTGATCCGTAAACCGTGCAGTTGCCGGCGCCGGTCAGTCATCTTGTGTACCTTGGTCTGACAGGCCTTGGTTGCTGCAACAAACCGCACCTTCTCACCTTTGGGCTGGACTCTGCGGCGGCAAAACTGGGTGGTCTTGCGGTGCAAGTTGTTGGCATTTGCGGGCCCAAACTGGCTCTTGGTTCCAACGTACGGGTGCAAGATAACCCCAGACTCGGCCATTCCAGACAGTGTTTCCAGCTGCGTCTGTGTCAGGCTGTCGCTTGGGTTGTGCGTCCCAACCACATAGCGTTCCTGTACATGACCCCGCGTAGGCTTAAACCTGTTGCCTTTTGGGTCAATGTTCATCTCAAAATGGACTATTCCAGAGGTCCAGCACACAATGTCACCAGGCTCAGGGATCACAATTGCACCCGATGCATACAGTACTTTGACTAAAGAGTCGGCGTTCGACAGCGAAGTAAAGCCCGTCGTGGACTTGTCCCGGTACATAGATGAGATGTCCGGCTGGTGCGTGGCCCGCCCAAACACGAGGCGCACATTGCCCTCCTTGTACCCAATAAGCCTAAACCCTAAACCCTACCCTCCCCCCCCCACCCGAAGTGGGGTAGTCGTCTACGTGGGGCACCGTCAGACTGCACCGAAATGTCTTGAACGAATCTTGTGACACCATACCCCCCGCGTTGCCCGTTACCTGGAACAAAATGGCTGTAGCCAGCTCATTGTCCGAATGCTCCATAACCGCCAGGTTAGCCTGGAACCCCGACCCCAGTGCAAAAACAGTTGGCTGTGCGTCCAAATTATCCAACCGAGTCTAATGATAGTCTGACTTGGCTTCTGGCTGCGCATACATAAACCCAAACCCGTTGTTACCAACAACTCCCGTGGGCCACAGTATTTTGTGCTGACTCTGCACATCGTAGCTGGTCTTGGCCGCATCAACCTTCACCTCGTGGTCCGCATCAATACTCGGCTTTATGTCGCACTCCCACGCACGGTATGCTGCCACCTGCCCTGCCGCACATGCTGCACATGCAATGCATCTTCGGATAATCAGTACTCCATTGTCCTTGAGTGCCTGACGTGCCATCTGGATAGCCGCCATACACGTGTCGCCCGTAAATTGGTCCCTCGACACTATTGGGCTGGCTAGTCCTCCAATCTTCTTCTTCAGAGTCGATACAAACACGGACGAACCAGTGTCTGGTGTACAGGCGGTGGTCGTTGGCGTCGTCAATGTAGAAATTCAACAAAGTGTTTATAGTGCATCTCCATTCACAGCTGTAAATGTGAGCCGAAGTGCGTCCAAGTAGTTGGTTATATACCCGAATACGCCCTAAAAGTGCGATCCCAGAACCTGTATGTGCCACGAAACACGCGTTATCGGTGACCCATACTCCAGCAGATTAGCGAATAGGGTTTGGGTGCCAACCACGTGTATCAAGTTCAGGGTTAGGGTTTTGGGGCAAACACAGTACCAACACTCGCCATGTTTTAGGGTTTAGGGTGTTTTAGATTAGGTGGGTCCAACAATTCACTACACTATATACCATATACCAAACTACAGAGCCAATGTCTTTTGTGGGGTTTAGAAACGGATATTATCATCTGTACCATATACACGTGTCGGGAACTAACCCTAGTATGCCGCTAAACTAGTCTGTGAAATTAAGCAAGGTGGGTTTAAGGTCGCAGTGGGGTGTACCACATAGGGTCTCTTGACGACTTACGGGGCGTTTACTGGTCGACACCGAAGTAACACTGGAGCTCCTACGCCCTGTAAGCGGTGTAATGGGGGCATAGGTGCAGCGGACACTGTTGCGCGGGGCCTTTTTGATGAGTAGCAGGCAATCCAACACCTCTTCGAGTTCAGCACCTGTCCCTCACAAGTTCAATAGTCCATCTTGAAAGGCTTCGGGTACAACAATTTCATTAACGGCAGAGATCGGGCGAATCATATTGCGAAGACTATCAATGGCTTCTTTCAGGTCTTGGTCTTATCGTCCATGTTGGGTACACATCCACACGCGACATATTGGGCGTCGGAAACCTCATCAGGTGCAACTTCTACCATCACAATATGATTCGTGTTCAAAAAGCAAAAGTTGGTTCGATGGTACAGCGTCTTAGTCCCATCAAGCTGGTGCACCTTGGGCACGAAAAAGTATGCGGCGCTAGTACTGGAAGAGGCAGAGTCCTGTCCCACAATAGACATATCCATAAACTGCTGATTGGCGATAAGGGCGGAGAAAAACATAGTTCCTCGGCGGTAGTGACTCGTTGGAAAAAATGTGTCTGCGTAGGTTAAAGTGTGACTGATGACCTTAACATGACGTTTGCCTATATACCAGAATTCGGCCCCAGAATGCCATATTGGCCACAAAAAAGTCGTGATACATGGCCCTATGGAATCGCTACCCATCCACATACACCCAATTCACTATATCCACCCGATAGTTTCGACTACATAAGGTCACATGTTGCCGGCTATGCTACCATTCATTATTTGATTACAAGCGCACAAAGCAACTTTGCAGCCTTGTATTGCTTCTCGTCCCCAAGCTTACACTACCGCAAGATGATAACTTATCCAGTGTACAACCCCCTATCTAAAACCCTATATATA